TTGAATGTACATGGTAAAAAGAGAAAAGATCTGGCATCCAAAGGGGACCCAGATGCTCCACGGACCACTCAGTCATCGGCAATTCCTTTGATATGGCAAGCTGCTCAAATGAACGCTATCAAGTGCTTGGTGTGGCTTTCAGGACCTGGTCCCCTGGAAGCATATACTGAGTACATGGCTACATCCAAAGACGAGCATGCGTCCTCTTTGAAGCGCATGAAGGATTTCGAGCAGAGATTACCAATCCTCCTTGGCGCCACGCCTACTCAACTAGGGGAACATGTAGTATTTGCACATATTAATAGCGGAGAAGTCAAGAAAGAAACATTAAAGCACCTATTCGACATCTTCGCTAAAGACGCGACCGTATTCGTACACAAAAAATTGGAGGGCCTCGAGGTGACCCCTCTCCTTTATATATGCGGACAAAATTTCAACGAAGATATCTTTGATTTCTTCTTCGAGCGTGGAGCAGATGTTCTCAATTCAACTTACGAGAGGTATGTCGTTTGTTACATACTATCAGTGACTAAACTTCAATTTTCAGGTGCAATATCCTGCACATTATGGCCCAGAGAGGCTATGTGAAACTTATGAAGCATGTATTCACGAGGCTTAGCCAGGATCAGTTATCTACCTTGCTTTCACAAACCACCCGTCGCAAGTTGAACACGGTATGTTTTCATAGAAATGATGTAAACTTTCTGACCAGATGTCAGCCTCTTATGATTGCGATCAAAACTGGAAACCTTGAAGTTGTTGAATTTTTACTATCATTCGACCATCCCGTCACCAACGCATCCCTTTTGGCTCGAGATGCGAACGGCTCTCTACCAATTCATGAGGCAACGAGCAAGGAATACCACAAAATCCTCGAGCTTATGTTGCGATCGAAGTCGGCTCAGGCCATGAAAGCACTCTTTACAGAAAACGGAATCGGGTCCACCCCTTTAGAAATTGCGACCTTCAAATACCTCCTCAGCTTCGATAGGAAACTCCAGAATGACATCAATGGCAACGCTGCGGTCCAATACACGATACCATCTCCGGTCATAGCTAATCTTTCCTCTGGGCCATGGTCTAATGCTCGTCACTTGCTGCAAGGGTTGAAACAAATATTGGAGCAACTACCCCAAATCAATCGGACGACAATTGACGAATACCGAGCCTTGGAGAAGATTGTGGTCTCTGTAGATGAGGAAGGGCGCCTTACCAATTCGCCAACTTTGCTTCAAGTCTTAAGGGAATACATTGAACGGAGTGCGATTGCCTTGGAAGACTCAAACACGGCTTTGGCACAAAAAAAAAGAGCTTATGACGAACTTACGGCTATATATACCTCTGCTGAAGCTGCTGTCAGCCCCTCTGTACTTGGCCAAACCGCCAGCAATGATTACACGCTTAACAGCCTATTCGGAAGACATCTATATGGTAATCGTATTGGAGCACAGAGTACGACTGGTCAAGATGTTGGGATAACATATAATGTGATCAGGAGCGCTGTCGAATCTTCTGGATTGAAGAGGCGCAGGGGCCTTGTCCATCTGCTCGATGCTCAAACAGCCGTCAATTCTGCCATGGATATCGCTATCAATGCCCCCAATCGGGATCCCGGCTTCACGTTTGGACAAACCCAAGGCTATTCGGGTTCATTCCGCCGTAGACAACGCAATTTCGCAAAGATGGAGGCCCTGGGCCCGGAGGAAGATCAGAGCAACAAATTCAATTACATATTGAACTATAGCTCCATGGTCTCCATTGGCGTTGAATAATAGCCATTAATGATGATTGACTTACGAATGCATGTATTACATCGTAGATAGGAGACAATTGACCTTCCCCTCTTATGATACCTTTTCTCCCATATTGCTAAGTAAAGTTTGGTCAATTGTGTGATTCTTCTCGAGTTGAGCAACCTCTGAAACTGATATGATTTCGTCAACGACATCAATGGCTGTGAGGATGTACACTAGAAGCAACCGAGTTGACTGGTATCCTTCCTAACTCTACGAAATCATCTGCGATACAAATCATTCTGGAAGTCATGCGCAGATCTCGTCTAGCATATCAAATCCATTCATAAGGGATCAATAGATAACGAGCTTAATTTGGTTGGATTCTCGCATCTCAAGTCGCGTACGTCATTTAGAGTGTTCAAACAAGTATATTTTGACAGGATGCGGGAGAATGAAAGTATAATAAGGGGGCGAGCCGCGTAATAATCTGCCTTTAATCGAAGAGACCAAAGCCCATATCGTCGTCGGACTCTTCCTAAAGAATCGTTAATGAAATAGCCAAATTCGGGCAGTTAGATACTTGCCTTAGGTTCCTCTTTCTTCTCTTCTTTCGCCTCTGCAGCAGCAGCTCCACCACCACCACCCCCACCGCCGCCGCTAGCGGCAACAGCTCCGCCACCACCTCCTCCGCCAGAAGGAACAGACGAGAGTTTAGACGATCCCTCAGCGATGAGCTGGTCAATACTCTTTCCATCCAATTCAGAGAGTAATTTGTCTAGTCTCTCCTCGTCGGCGTCAATTCCGACGGTGGAGAGAAGTTTTGTAATATCAGACTTGGATGGTGAAGCGTTGCCACCAATCTGAAGAAGTAGGTATGCAGCAATATAACGCATCTGATCGAATTGTCAATGAAAGTTCAGAGGTTGTGTTTATGAATGCTGCTGACTTTGAGGAGACGAGAGTTATTGAAACGTTAAAGTGGATAAGCGGCAGCTACAAATCACTGGAGAGGCCAAATATTAGATAAAATCGATACTGTTATCTGAAATAGGCCTACAGTTTAATCCCCGAGGACGACTTGCAGGTTCTGTCGCAGAACAGAGAGTCAAGGTTTTGTCCTATTTGGCCACCAAGCACCCAACTTTGTTCTTCCGACCAACCACTCCACCATGGTATGCACAACAATATGGACAATACACAAGAAATCTAACATTGGATGTATCTTTGATTTTGAATGTGTTTAGGCTGATACCGAGGTTACCGATCCCCAACTCGCCGCTGAGCTGAAAAAGAAGAGGACATTCCGTACATTCTCGTACCGTGGAATCGAACTCGAGAAATTATTGGACATGTCTAACGATGATGTGGGCTCATATATTTTAATATCCGTTTTACATGCGCTAATTAAGGTGTAGTTCGTTGATCTGGTTCACGCGCGTGCCCGCCGTCGTTTCCAAAGGGGTCTCAAACGACGACCTATGGGTCTCATCAAAAAACTCCGCATCGCAAAAAAGAATGCACCACCGAACGAGAAGCCTACTGTTGTCAAAACTCATTTACGAGACATGATCATCGTTCCAGAGATGATCGGCAGCGTTGTCGGCATTTACAATGGAAAGGTCTTCAACAGTGTTGAAATCAAACCTGAAATGACCGGACACTATCTTGCCGAGTTTTCGATAAGCTACAAGCCTGTCAAGCACGGTCGACCAGGTATCGGTGCCACCCACTGTGAGTAGATCGTTGTGCCTTTGAAACATTGGTTTATATCAGCTTTTGTTGACGTATTTTACTAACTGATACCATCAGCGTCTCGGTTCATTCCTCTCAAGTAAAACATTCCCTTGGGACTACGAGACTCGGTGCATCACTTCCTATATTACTGCTCGTACTTGTATGCCATGCACTATGCAGTATGTAACACAGCAATTTAGCAAAATCATATGTCTGGTTTGTGAGACTATTGGCGCGAATAAGTCGGACCAGTATTTTGGACTTCTGGTGCAGCTTACCTTATTTCATAAGGGCCCGTGGAGCATACTATAGCCGATTTGATATGACTACATCTAATGCTAACAACCGTAATGTTCCCGTGTAGGTGCCAAGTATATTGGACCTCAACTTCTCCATCCTGCGCAAAAAATCCTCCTCTTCAACGTTTTCGATACCTCCCATCATCTACCCTGGTATCCCAAATATAGAGGTATCTCGGAGACTGAAGTAAGCCGTCTTATGGTACTTGGATCTTCCT